CAGCCTTGGGAGAGCCTCCACTGGGGGTGGGGCTCTTGGTGCTCTTTCATAAACTACCATTCCTAGCCCATGTCACTCCTACATCCCTTTAGCTGAAGCTTAAAACAGATGCCCTGAGAAGCTTGAATGCTCTCCACCACCTTGTGCTTTTGCAAGCAGCATTATTTAATCATCTGTGTTCTCCACCTTGGAGAGAGAACTCCATGTTCTCTCCCTTCCCACCCCTGTCCAACTCAGGGTCCAAGAAACTGCTGGAGTCCTTTGTCCTTTGCTGGGGTCTTTTTCAACTACAACTGCAGCTGCTGCACGGATCTACTTGATCATTGATGGGTGAAGCCATTCTATGGAGGAAATGAAACTGGACAAGTTGGCGTTTTCCCTGGCTTTAATATCTTGTGTGGTCAGAGGAAGCAAAAAGACTTGCACTTTCACTTAGAATGTGTTGTTTAATGGGCTACATTAAACTCCGCAGTCTGTGAACTCAGTTCCCGCTTCCTGATCAACATGCTCAATATGCAGTTTGGTTGGAGTCCCCGGGAACAGGCCCCTTTGCTCTTAGGCCCGTTTCTCCTATCCTCCTATGGGAATCCTGGGTGGCTTCCAGTGGTAACACATGTCCCATGTACCGGTGTTATTTTCCAGTGACTGACAATACTGTCCTAATCTTTCTCCAGCAATGACAGAACACGAGATCTTAAATACAGGTCTCAGCCCTGGCTACACATTAAAATCACCAAGGGAGCTTTACAAAATGCCAATGCTAGTCTGTTTCCTAGCATATCTGACTTTAATTTCACTGACAGAGAAAAGTACAGTTCTGCTCCAGAAAGCATAGATCTATCACTTTGTAGCTCTACCACTTTGGCTGTCACTTTCCTACACCTCAGTTTGCTCATCTGTAATATGGGAGGGGTGACACTTGCTCCCCAGGGTGCTGTGGAAATTAAGTGAAACTGGTGTAAGGAATCACCTACCACCTGCTATGTGCATAGTCAATCATGTCTTACTTAGAATATGAACAAGAGCTTCTTGTTAGCCATATCTTGTTAGGACATGGAAAGATAGATTAGATTTTCCACCTTAGTGGAGAATGCAAAGGTGTGGATGTGTAGAGACAAAGGGCAACTTCCAGTCACCAGGAATGGGCACTAGACTACACTCTGACCTTCCCTCCAGGGGGCAAGAAATCCCTGGGGACCAAGCGGCTTGCCTCATAGGAGCATGTATAGATTGCGCACTGGGAGACCCGCCCAGCTCTGCACATGGCTCCAGTCCTTTCCAGCTGGTCCTCCAGAGAAGAGACTGCTTCTGGTTTACATCTCTGGTCACAAGCCATGATTTAGGCATTGGAAGAGGATGGCAGTGGTCTGGGGCTTGAGATTAAGAGCCTAAAGCTGTGCAGATGAGAACTTTCATGAACCCAGGGTGGGAGACAAAGGGGCAGACAGGAGGCCAACAGCTTTATATTCTCTGACTTCGGGCCACACAAATTTTAGGGTTAGCTCTGACCCAAGTGTGTGTTCTGCAAGAGCTGTCAAGCAGTTCTCCCTGGAATGTTCTTATTATTAACTTTGAAATCATACTTTGAAAAACAAATGCTTAGTGTTATGACTGGGACACAGTAAGTGCTTGATAAATATTGGAGTAGCAATATTTAAGTACACTCCCTACACTTCAGAAGTGCTCAGACATCTTGCTCAATAATACAATGGGAAGGGGAAGCTGCCAATTTAATGGGAACTTTTCTCCAGTGTAAAACAATTCTTTTTCTCCAGCCTACTTTTCCCGTTTGTTCCAGAAGGTTGAGCAAGGGAGAGCTGATGGATGTGACGGTGACAGCAAGGCCCCCGCTGCCTCCCTTTGCTGTGTCTCTTGCCTGGTGCCTGATCATCAGCCTCCTGCTCTGCTCACTCTGCTGCCAGCATGCTGCTCTGCGTTCTACACTGGGCTCCAGATGGAGCTGCTGATCCTCTGAAAGAGCAGAGTACTCCGGTTGTGGAGCAGGACCCTCCACTTGAGAAGAAACCACGCTGAGTTGCCTCACTTTCCAAGGCAACGAGGAGAGCTGTGAATTCTTAGGTACCTTGTTATATTCTGCTGACAGGAGGAGGAAAATAATAAAGTACAATGTAGAGGGTATTTGCTATATGCTTGGCTCTACCAGGTATTCCATCTTGTACAGTGATCTCCCCAGCCAGTTCTCACAATCCAGTAAGACAGGCATTTAGCTGGAAGTTCTCATCCAGCCCTCATGTTATGCACTGAAAGCCCTGAGCTGCAGGGAAACTATATGGAGACAGGACCTTAATGAGGCAGGAAAATGAAAAGGTAGAAACTGTGTCCTTATGAAAGGAGGAAGAAACACCAGACCTCTCTAGCTCTCTGTCACAAACACAGAGAAATTTGATGAATCACACAGCAAGGAGTCAGCTCATTACAAGCCAGGAACAGCCCTCCCCAGGAGCCAGGTCACCAACTATTGATCCTGGACTTCTAACCTCCAGTATTCTGAGGAAGTTTCTGTTTTGGCCACCTATAACTCGAGAAGACAACCACCAAGATCTGCTCCTAGAACTCAAATCATTGATGCATTCCACTTCTGAGTACTTAAGTCCCATCTTTTTTCCTTCCCTCATCTGCTAACACCAAGTTCCAGCTTCTCTTGTGTGCTGCCTTCATCCTTCACCTTCTGTTTCTTTCACTATCTACCAGGTCATTCCACCAGGCCAGGATCCCCTTTGCAACTCAGGGATTTTTCTTTTCTTTTTTCTTTTTTCTTTTTTTTTTTTTTTAAACTGGGATCTTATTGTGTTGCCCTGGCTGGTCTTGAACTCCACAGCTCAACTGATCCTCCTGCCTCAAATTCCTGGATAGCTGGGACTACAAACAAATGTCACCAGACTCGACACCAAGAACTTTTTTTTTTTGAGTCAGGGTCTCACTATGTAATTCAGCCTGGCCTTGAACACAGTGGTCCTCCTGCCTCAGCCTTCTGAGTGCTAGTATTACAGGCATGCACCACCATGCCTGGCTCAGAGGGATTCTTTCGCAGGTTGTTTTCATGCCATTTCTTTTTTGATGGGTTCCAAGCAGCTTCAGGCATAGGCTGTAAGTTTTACCTTACAAGGATGGCAGGAGCACAGTAAGGAAGTCAGGTTTCCCTGGCTCTGCGCTGCATCCAGGCGTACAAGCCACCTGTCGGGAGGAAGCCAGGCTCCTGTTGAAGCTGTGCTGGCTGTGAGAAATTAGGGTACTACAGCCCAACTGCAGCCCAGGTTTTCCCCCCAGGTGGCCAGCACCTGTCACCTTCATTGGTTCCCTGGAGGTCCATCCTCAGCCTCAGAGACTCATTATATTGCTAATAGGACAGATTTAGTGGGAAAGATATAGTTTTGATTTCTGTCTGTGAGCCTCACAAGTCATTTCATGTATTTGAAGCTTCAAGTCTCTACTTGTTTAATAGGAGCACTGGCCCTTGCTTTGTAAAACTACAAGGAAAGCTTCCATTGTTCCTGGAAATCCTTGTTTGAGATTTGTGTTTGTGTTTCTTCTGCCACTTAATTGATTTTTATCTTTGTACCGGGGATCGAACTTGGGACCTTACGCCTGCTGGGCAGGCACTTACGCCTCTGAGCTGTCTCACTAGCCCCACTTTCTTCTTGAGCCATCCTTCCAAAAACCTGAACTGTAACTCTTGCTGAATTTTGGTATGGGGACTAGGGAGAAGATGAAAAGGTAGCTGCCTTTTTAAAAAGATGTTGTTCATCCTGTTTCATTGTTGTATTCCCAGGAGGACATAGAAAAAGCAGACTAGCCATAATCCTTGCCTAAGCACAGTTTTAGGAAGATAAACCCACCTCCAGATGATACACGGGGGCAGTCATTTCCACACTAAATGTTGACCTGGCAGTGGATTTTTTTCTTTTTAGCGAACTGAATGAATGAATGAATGAATGAATGAATGGCAAATTAAGGTCTGCTTTTGACGTGATTCACCAGACCTTGGGGGTCTTCTCAGCTCATTCTCTTGTTTGTTTGGGCTAGTTTTGAGAGCCAGAATCAATGTACTGAGTCCAACATCTGTACCTCAGGAAATTCCCTTCAGAAATGAAGACAGTCTGGGAGGAATTTTCTCAGCTGTTCTGCAGACTCTTGGGGAGGTCACTTTGTCATACTGGGAACTGAGCTCAGGATTTTGTGCTTACCAGGCAGGCACTATGCCACTGAGCTACACTACATTCCTGGCCCATTTAGCTTTTGTGAAATCTTAGAAAAATGTAGCCCAAGGAGATGAAAAGAAAATAACATCATGCGGCCAGAGAGCCCTGCTCTGTTGGTGTCTCAGAATGTGTCATGCTTGAGGTTACAACCTCCTGTTGTCAAGGTAAAAGGTTGTGAATTTAGGCCCCAAAGAGTGGCTCTGAGAGGCATTGGTGGTCTAGTGGTTAGCATAGCTGCCTTCCAAAGAGTGGCACTGAACTCTACCTCCCTTCTGGCCAGTCAAATTTGGACAAATAGTTTATCTTCAGAAGCTTTATTTGCTACATGTAATATGGGATGTTAAAGCCATCTCAGAACTGGTGGAATGAGTAAATGTAATAGTGAATGCAAACGGTCTTCGAATCAAATGCCAAAAGCTTTGTGTGGTTAAGATTCTTGCTTTTAGAGTTAGACAGGTTGAATGTGCCACGACCATTCCCTATCATTGGGCTGGACCATTGGTTTGGCCAGTATGAACAGAAATGCCCTGGCTATTTCTAAGGGGAACTTTAAAATCGCATTGGCAACTCCCAGGTTATCATTTCTCTGTCCTTTTGATTAGGGGAAGTGTTGTGCAAATGGGAGCTAAGGGCTGCAGTGATTAGAATAACTACAGCTGAGAGGCCACTGGATGTGGCCGACGGTCATGGTAGCAAAACCAACCTGGCCTCACCAATACACTGTGTCACTGTTTTATGTGATTTAATAGAAAAACAAAACATGCACCCCAAAAATAAAAGCCCACATACACAAGAAGATTGGACACAAGTCTTGGGCAGTGCTTTGGGAGACTGCTCTGGATACTACTTGCTCTTGGGAAGGGGACGGTAGACACCAATGACCACCGCGTGGTCCCTCTCGTAGGGCTCCAGGGTCAGCTGCTCTTGTGGCTTCAAGTTCTCCTGCTGCAGCTTCTTCACCTCCGAAGCAAACACAGCTTCTGCCGATGCGGTGGAGTCGATGCAGTTGGCCTTGATGGAAATGAGAAAGTGGCCTCCGTTGCGCAGGAACGTGTGTGCGTTCAGAGCCACGATGCGCGACTGGTCCGGCTGGGCCACGTCGGCGAAGATCACATCCACCATCCCAATGAGCATACGGTACCTGAGTGGATGCCGGGCATCTTCCAGAACCGGGATGATGTTGGTTCGCTGTTTAGCCACATTGACCAGATCACGGCCGGCGCGGTGTGAAAACTCCACAGCGTAGACCAGGCCATCTGGGCCCACGATGTCAGAGACGTGGGAGACGGTGGTCCCCGAGGCAGCCCCCAGGTACAGGACTTTGGACTTGGGCTTGATGTGGATCTGGTCAACCCCTCCCAGGATAGCCGCGGCCAGCTTGGAGCGGAAGGGGTTCCACGCGCGGTACTCCTGCTTCACACCGTTCTCTGTCACGCAGACGCGCCGCTCGCCGTACACGGAGATGCCCGGCACCATGTTCAGCGTAACCAGCGCGTCCTCCCCGCCGCGGTAGATGAACACGCCCTCGTGCCGGTGTGGCTCCACGAATACTGCGTTGGCGCCCTTCCTGCGGCGATTCTTGCTCTTGGCCGCGCCACCGCGCCGCTGGCCGCCGCCGCCGCCCCGGTCCCTGCTGTCACCGCGGCCGCGACCCCTACCCCGGCCCCCGCCGCGGAAGCCGCGCGTCCTCCCGAAGCCGCCTTTGCTCCCCCCGCCGCCACCATCACCTCCCTTGCCGCCCCCGCCTCGTCCCCCGCCCCAGCCACCGCCCCCGCGACCCCCGGATGAGCCCCCGCGGGAGCTTGCCGGCTTCATGGCGCCTCAGCGAGCCCCTGGGTTGGAGTGGGCTGGGATGGTTGTCGGGGGTTACCGGCGGCTGAAGAAGATTGTCCGGAGTTAGTGGTTACTAGGACGTTGCCAGCAGGTGTCAGGGGTGGCTGTGACGCGAGGTGATTTTCCTGGCGGGGGACAAGGGTTAACAGCAGCGGTTGAGCGTGCCAACAGCAGCTGGGATAAGGAGGGGGGTGGGCGGGTCCAGCTCCAGCGCAGTTCCTGCGTCCTGGGAGCCGCCCTTTGACGCACGGACTGGCGTGATTACATCACACCCGCTTTGGCGACCTTGCAGTCATGGAAGCCCCTTCTCAACCAGCACGCAGACGCAGCCTGCTCTCCTGTAACCCTTCGCCTGTTCCCTTCCCTTCGGCTCTCTCCAGGAGCCATGGTTTTCCTGGCGCCGGGCATCTCTGTGGCACAGGAAGCAAAGCTGGAATTCAGTCCTGGCCACCTGTCTGTCTTGGGAAACTTACCTGACTCTGTCCCTGAGAATCTTGTTGGAATTGGGGCAAGTTTCTTTCTGATCATCCTACCCGTAAAATAAAACCTATCTCAAAGGTTTGTTTTGTAGCTGATGCACTTGCTCTATTAGGGGTGGCTCTCTCAATTGCATTTGTGTGTATTCCTTTGGTCAATCCTTTTATCGACGTATACTTTATATATAATAATAAAATTCACCAGTTTGTTTTTGATAGATATTCTGACAAGACACACAAGATATTTAGGACCTGGAGAGATAGCTCAGTAGAATAAGTGCTTGCCTGGCAAGCGATGGACCCTGAGTTCAATCCCTGGTACCAAAAAGAAAAACAAAAACAAAAACAAAAAATGCTTATCTTGGCCTAGTTACTTGACTCTGAAAGTGTTCTTTCATTTTTTTCTTTTTGCCTCTGCAGTCATAGAGCTTAAGGCCTGGGCCTTGCACATGTAAGACAAGTGCTGTACCACAGAGTCATGGCCCTAGTCCTATTTTAGATTTTGTTTTGAACCAAGCATGATGGTGCACAAAGGATCACCAGGAGTTTGAAGTCAGCCTACGCTAGATAGTGAGCTCAGGACCAGACTGGGTGACATGCCTCAAAACATTTTTCTTCTTTACTTTTGAGACAAAGTCTCACTAAGTTGCCTAGGCTGGCCTCTATATATACTTGCTATATACCCCAGGTGGACTTCAAACTCAGGATCCTACTGCCTCAGGAACCCAAGTGCAGGGATTACAGTTGTGCATCAGTACAGCCAACTACTTGGAGCGTTTTATCCAGAAGAGATGATCCTTACAAGAAATGAGAACAAATAGAACTGCAGCTGGGAAGGTTATGGACATAAAGAGAGCCTCTCTCAGAGAGAGAGAGAGAGAGAGAGAGAGAGAGAGAGAGAGAGAGAGAGAGCGCTATGATAGATGTAGTGATGATGATTATCGCCATAGAAGTGGTGGAAGGTGTGAGAAAGAGGACTACTCCAAGAGATAGTTAGAAGATAGCAAGAAGAAGGAGGAGGAGGAGGAGGAGGAGGAGGAGGAGGAGG